CCCAGACCCGCCTGCCCAGCCTCCACGCCCCCCACCAAGGACAGCCTTGGCCCCGGCTACCCTGCAGGCTCCCCCAACGTGGCAGCCGCCTGCAGCCAGGCGGAGTGCATGGGCGGGAGCCAGGCTATCACCTCACCACTGCCTGCCAACACACCTTCCCCGTCCTTCAGCAAGCTCCCACCTTCCAAAGCCAGCAAGTCATCCAAAGGCAAGGACGGGCTTGAGGTGGAGGCTCCTTCTCGAAAGCGAAAGTTATCCCCTGGGCCCACCACTTTCAAACGGACCTGTGTCCTGGAGCCCACTGGAAAAGGCAAACCCTCTGGCTGCCGGGGCCTCTCGGCCAAGACTAAAACAGGCCTGGGCATGGGGCTTAATGGGACGGTGGAGCCAAGAGTGAAGCGGGCAGGGCCCCTGGACTGTCGGGGTTCCCCTCATCAGCCCCCCACGCCAGTCAAGGCTTCTCAGCTGGACAACCAGGGAGCGGCTGGACACCCGGCCAAGGCCCTGCCGACCAACTGCCTCTCTGAGGAGGAGGTAGCCAAGAAGCGGAAAAACCTGGCCACTTACTGCCGGCCAGTGAAGGCCAAGCACTGCCAGGCTGGTGCCCCTGCCGACGCGGCCTGCTCTGTGCGCCGCAAGAAGCCGGGTCCGGCCCTGGCCTTTGAGGAGAAGTGTTCTACACTGAAGGTACCAGCCCAGCTCCCTGAAGAGCAGGGGCGGGGAAGGGTCAGGATGGATGAGGTTGGAGTGCACAGGCACCTGACAAAAAGAGGTGCTTAAGTAAACGTCTGTGCAGGGAAGGGAAGACTGGGGAAGTTGAGAGAGAGTTCCTGGGCCATCTGCTCTAGGGAGAGGTGACCCCAGCTTTTGCTTGGTGGGCCTTCCCCTATCCCCAGCCCTCTCCTTTGGGCTAAGGAGATGTTGCCTCTGCCTCTCCCCCTTCCCCTGCTTGCTTTAATCAAAGGGCCACTTTCTGAATTGGCTGTGGCCCTCACTCCAGGACTTGGAGCTACCTCTGTTCCCTGAAGGAGAGAATGCTGGACTCCATGAGCTCTGATAAGAAAGGTTTGGGCAGTGGGGTTGAGCTTGGGTCCCTGAGCTGTGGCCTAACACGCTGCACACAGGCTGGGTGGGCTGGTCTTGTTCATTGGTTTTGCCTCTGGGCATCAGGGCATGAAAGGGCAGGGACATAACCCAAGGTCCCCATATGCATGTCCGCCCACCTTATACATATACCCATTGCCAGGTTTTGAGGTGCCAGGCAAGCTCTCCAGGGTTTCTGGTAAAGCCAACAGCCAGGTTTATTTGCCTCTTCTGATGGGAGCCCTGGAGTAGCATGCTATGAGCTATCCATATGACCTTAGCCAGGAGGAACGTATTGGAGGGGGGAAGGGGAGATGCCCTCCTGGTTTAGGCACTGGCCAGATGCATACCAACACCTTTGGTGCCCATATGAGAGTAGTAAGTTTGACAGCTGCATGGGGCCTGAGTGTGTTTTTGTCACACGTGTGCATAGGTGATCTCCAGGCTGCCTCTGCTGGGCTGGCATTCATCCTCCCCCTTGCCCAGCTTTACTCACAAGACCAGCAGGAGGAAATCAAGCCTTAGCTTTTCTGGCCCACATAGTTTGCTGGATAGGAGGACAGTTAGACCCCCAGCCCGACCCTGTCTCTTGCCTCTTGTCTTCCTACAGTCAAAAGCCCATTAACAAGAAAGTGCCTGCCCACTGCGATGGAGCCGCCAGCACCTCCTCCCCTCCAGATCCGGGCCCCAGGCTGCTGCCGCTTTTTATAACTTTATATTATTTTTTTTAAGAAAAAAAAACTCTTTAAAATACCTCAAGACTGTCTCCTGTTCTGTTGCTGCTAAGAAAATATAAAAACAGAAACGTAGAAAAGGAAGGAAAGAAATGTAACAAAATGAGTGTCCTTACTGTCCCCAGCTGCTCCCCAGGAGGCTGAGATGATAGGCAGTCAGACAGACTCCAGCTCCCGTCACTTGCCTGCAAAAAAAAAATCTCTTACACTCGTATATTTTTGTCCTTTTAGTCTGTGGAAATGGCTGGGGGTTGTATCACTGGGGGAGTCTTAGGATGAGGAGGCATGTGTCTCGGAGCGAGCAAGGGGACTACAGTCCCACTGGGAAAGGAAACTTGATGGGGGAGGGGAGCCACACCTCTGGCTCTACTCTTGGATCTTGGCCTTGAAGGTCTGTGGATGTCCGCCTGTGGCCCTTTTCTGGTTTTCCAGCAATCCTGCTCCTCCGTCCTGTCTCTGAATTTCTGCCTCAGTTTCTTCAGCCCTTTCTGCCCTTCCTGTCTCTTACTAGTAGCCTTATTTTCTCAACCACTGGAACTTGAGTTGGTAATTGCACTCAGGATGTCCCTGATTTCTGTGGGACGGCCTGGTTTTGGTCTCTTTCTCCATGGCCTGTGGGTTTACCCTTCAGGAAGGGGTACAGCCTCTCCCAGGTAGGCCTCCTTAAGCTGAACCACACCTTTTTTTGGAGGCAGGAAGGGAAAAGGTATCCTCACTTACAGAACTTCCCTTGGTGTGGGAGGCAGCAGCTGTGTGGGAGGCCCTAGCCCCTCAGGTTCGCCTGGCTCCCCAGGGCTGAGCAGATGGTGTGGAGGCGGCAAGGGCTGGGAGTGCCCTAGTTTTTCCATTTGTCTCACTGGGGACAACAGCTACTGTGCAGACACGGGATACGACTGTTGCACGTCCCTCCTTTGGTCCTCAAACCTGAATTCAGCAGGCACAGGGCACTAGTTTTCAGCCTTCTCCTGTCCTTTCAGTCTCCTTGTTTTTAGGCAGGGAGGGATCTTATTCCCTTAACAAGACAGAAGAAGAGGTGGCAGGAGAGAGTGGGCAACCAGGGAAATCCAGTGTTTCTGGAAAACTGTTCAAAACACTGGTTTCACACGCTTGGTTCAGTATACCAAATCTGTGATTCGGGTGAAATAAGTTGTCGTAAATGTAGTTTCCACAGGCTATTTGAGACATAAGCCCCGTCAGCCCGGGTAGACATAAAGATACACACGAGTTGGGCAGAAGACACAACGGTGGGCCCGGAGCTGTCCAGTCGCCTTCTGCCCTCGGGGCTCTCCAGGACGGATGCGCTTTCCCCCAGCCCCCAGAGGGCGCTGTGGACGAACCGCCGCATTGCCGGCGGCGTCCCGGGGAGGAGCCTCTCCCGCAGCCGAGGCCGCCTCCGCGATCGCAAACCCGGAAGACGTGCCCTGGCAGCTGGAAGTGTGGGGCGGCTGGGCACCGCCATGCAGTCCCTGGAGGTAGGTCTGGTTCCCGCTCCACAGAGGGAGCCGAGACTGACCCGGTGGCTGCGGAGAGGCAGTGGGATCTTGGCGCACCTGGTCGCTTTGGGCTTCACCATCTTTCTGACAGTGCTGTCCCGGCCAGGAACGAGTAAGTGTGCCAGGCGGGGCGGGGAAGGGGGCGGAGCTGAGATGCTGGAGGGGCAGCGCTTGGGAGCGCTAAGAGGCGTGGAGTGGGGACCTTAGCAGTGGATGGGCGGACTGTGGAGGGGTAGTAAGGGCGCGGTGGGGCGTGGCCCTGGGGCTGGGGCCTGGAAAGGTGGGGCTTTGGGTGCTGGGAGGAGAGGAGGCGACTGAAGTGAATGGAACTCACTAGTTCACCATAAGCAAAGCCCCTCGTGGATGATACAAGTAAAGGAGGGATGCCAAGGTCTGTTGTAGGACTGGGCTGGTAGCTGCGAGGTGCTGAATGGGGAACGCAGGCCAGAGTGGTATGTTTGCCCTCTTGGTTGCTCACCCTAAGGCCCTTTGGCTGCTCCACTTCGCCCGGAGTTCCTGATTACCCATTAGGGTTGGAGACACTACTCTGACCTTTCCCCTCCAGCCAGATTCTTTGGGCTCCAGCCAGCCACAGGGGTAGAAGCAACGGTGCCCAGTCGTCAGTCTGTTCTCTTTGATTCTTAGGTCTTTTCTCCTGGCACCCTGTATTCATGGCCTTGGCGGTGAGTTTGGGCTTCTTTCTGCAGGTGATTTGTTTGGATATGCCCCTAAGGAAGCATCCAGGCTTCAGAAGGCTTAGCCTTTCTGAGGCTCAGAGAGGTGGGGGGAAATGCCCAGGGCCCCATCTTTCCCTGCAACCTGTGAGATCAGGAAACATGGAGGGCTGGGCTGTAGGTAGTCAGGTGGTTTAAGGGGGTGGGAGGACATGGAAGATACCTTTTTTTTTCTCCATTAGGGCCTGAAAGGAGGAAGTGGAAGGGGTGCAATCCAGTTGCTCCCCACTCCAAAGTTCAGGAGGAAGTTTAACATTTGCTGTTCCCATTGGTCAAGAAATGAGGGTCATTGTCTGTGGTGGAGGTGGGGGCATGATGTCAGCCTGAATGATGAGACTTCCACTCTAGCATGGATTCCCAGTTCTGCCCACAAATGCTGACCTGTGTGGCAGGTGGTCCTGGTGGGGGTTCTTTAGCCCCCACCCTCTGTCCTCCTTGTTTGGATGTATGAGGGCACCTCATTTTTCTTAGGCCTCCAAGCTGGGTCTGAGGCTCACTGGCCCTCTCCTGTGTTCACAGTTCTGCCTCTGCATGGCTGAGGCCATCCTACTCTTCTCGCCTGAGCACTCCCTGTTCTTCTTCTGCTCCCGAAAGGCCCGGATCCGACTCCATTGGGCGGGGCAGACCCTAGCCATCCTCTGCGCAGCCCTGGGCCTGGGCTTTATCATCTCCAGCAGGACCCGCAGTGAGCTGCCCCACCTGGTGTCCTGGCACAGCTGGGTAGGGGCTCTGACACTGCTGGCCACTAGCGTCCAGGCACTGTGTGGGCTCTGCCTCCTCTGTCCCCGGGCAGCCAGGGTCTCAAGGGTGGTTCGCCTCAAGCTCTACCATCTGACATGTGGACTGGTGATCTACCTAATGGCTACGGTAACAGTGCTCCTGGGTATGCACTCTGTGTGGTTCCAGGCCCAGATCAAAGGTGCAGCCTGGTACCTGTGTCTGGCGCTGCCCCTCCATCCAGCCCTGGTAATCATGCACCAGATCTCCAGCTTCTACTTGCCAAGGAAGAAAATGGAAATGTGAATTCCTCCAAACTGTGAATCAAAATGGGACACTTGACTTGGACTTCAGTGGTTCCTTTGGTGACCTTCAGGGATCCACTTCAGAAGTGGTAGGGTTTTTGTATTTCTTAGCTGGGCTAGGGGCTGCAGAGACCCAAACTGCTGTTGCTGACAGATGACTCAGTGCGCCAAAATGGGGAAATGTACGGGGCACAAGTGAAAGGTGATAGGGAGCTTGATCCTGAAGCCTCCACTCTTGATGGGAGACAGAAGTGTTGGGTGGTGGTGGTGATGGTACTGGCAGTCATTTCTTGCTTGCATGCCTGGTGAAAAGTTGGATTCCTGTAACTTATGAATGACAGCTATGGCTCTTGGGGTCACTTTGAGAAAGCAGTGTAGTGGAGAGAGCCAGTGGGTCTTGTTTATGGGGTGTGGTCCTTGTACACTCTACTGTGGGACCTTATGCGAGTCACATGTCTCAGGACCTCAGTTTCCTCACCTGTGTAATGAGTGATTGTTTCTAAACAATTTCTCTTAACATTCAGTGTCTGTCAAGTTGATGTCACAGAACACCCTCTCAGGTCTGAACCGTGGGTTGGCCCACTCAGCAGACTCAGGGTGTAATTCTTACATTCATTGTCTCCTTACCCCTCTGGAGGGACAGGTCAGCTCTTGTGGCCTTTCAGGAATCTGTGCCGATTTGGCCCCTGCATCAGGGGACAAGGGATCAGGCACTGTGGAGAGAAGGGGCCCAGGTGAGGGTCTCCAGAACATCAAGACAGTAAAGGCACTAAAGTCACTTTAAAACTTTTGGAGGAGCAAAAGGGCATTGGCTTAACTAAGCCTTGGCTCATGGCTGGGCTTCTTAGCCCAGCTAAGAACTTCCTTCAGCTCACTTCAGGATCTGGGCTTGAGGGCTGCGAGACATCCATTCTCAGTGGCAATGTAGTCCTGAACATCTCATGTTTTGTCCTTCTTAGGGCTCAGGTCCTTGCCTTAGCACATAGCTCCGTGGAGCTCTTCC